AAATACGAAAGTATTTCTCTCCATAAAAAAGTATTTCGATGCAGTCAAAACTAGCACATAAAGTCAAATTTTACTTCTAAAAACAGAATGAGGACAAAATTTCAGAGACAATACAGTTTAATGTTCAATGTTTGCACGAAAAATCAAATCCGGAAAGAGCAGTTATTTTAATATAGAATTGTGAAATCATACCTTCGAGGTAAAAATCAAAATTTATGGACGTTAATCTTGTGATAGAAGATAAACTATCAAAAAGCCTGAAAGGTAGAACGCAATTGGAAAGGAAATTATCGCAAGAAAATTGGGGACGCTGGAGAATTTTCACACTGAGAAAACATGTTCCTTCGATAATCAAAATTTCCGCGTTGGCGAAGGGATGCAATGAAGGCCTCTGTCTGTTTGATAAACAATGCGCCTTCAACTTTAACTTCACCGACCCGATGCGATAAGTGGTGAGCCGCGAATTGAACGTAATACAAATCACTGCATTCTACAGGAGAAGAAGTTGATAAAATCATCTAGGAAGTTACAAGTTATTCAAATGAACATTAAATATTCTCTGCATCTTTTAAAAAAAGGAAAAACGAAAAAAAGAAAGATTTAAAGGACAACTCACTGAACGAAAAACTCTCCTTCTATCATCAGTTTTCGATTTGCGGCTAATAGGTAATTTTCAAAGGTGCAAACTGCGGGGGCAGTGAAACAAAATTTGCCAAAGGGTATCAAATGATAAAGGCAAGACCTATTAAGAACCGACTGAAAATAAGATAAAACGGCGACCACCGAGCTACTGAGATATTTTGTGTTTTCGCGCATAAGGAGCAATCTAAGAATTTTAAAAAGGTTCGGCAATCTAATTAAAAATCTTCAAAAGCTATCAAAGGGTCATAGATTAAAATAGTTTAAATGCCAATAAGTTACAAGAAAGATAAAACGAAAGAATGCAAATTTCAAAACGGAATTTCGTGAAGTAAAAGATGGAAAGAAAAAGAGCAGAAAAAAAGGGGAAATATATGTAAACCACTCTAAGTATAAAAATCACTTCAACTAAGTCTGATTCTAGCGTATTATATTTATTTGCCGATTCCTCGACAAATGCGTCAAGTTATAGATTTCTATTTAAAGCATTAGAGCACAAATGAACGAACATTTCATTTGTATTAAAATCTATATCCGCCACTTGCGACTAATTAACATATAGATAGCATAACTAGCGGCTCGACTTACAAAGAGTTGCCAATCAGGGAGGTTAATTGACGTTATAGGTTGTGTCTCCGTTGCATACAAAGACAGGATGCACTTCGAAAGCTAAAAGGGCGAAATCATTACCCAATGGCTTGTTTTACTTCCACACACACCAAAATACAAACTTTGAAGCAGGTGTACTTTGGCTGTATCCAAAGAAAAAATCCTCAAAACAACGGCGTGAGTAATTTAGCATGTAGCACAACGAGTCACCAAACATTCAGTTTATGAGATCAGCAGGATTACATCTTTCCTGGTAACTGATTCCGGCGATTCGAAATGTCATAATCGAAGTGGGACTAAAGTCGTTCCGCAAAACCGAGGTAGGCGGGGAACTTTCTCACCCGATAGTAGATATTTGCGAAAAAAACAATTTGTCATTCATTTCGGCTGCATTAATGGAAGTAAAAAACCTGTCGTGCAACCGAGGAAGTGAAACTAATGTCATGCTTGACAACACCCTAAAAATAGCCTAAGATTGATATGATCGGTTTACTTTTCCTTTGACGTGTGGTTGATGAGTGTGTTCATTTTGCCAGTGTGAATTATGAGAACAATCCCATATGCTCTTTATGATTCGGTTATTAGTTTTCAAAAGCAGCCAAGTCAAGATCCACGAGAGCTATCTCGTACCCAAAATCTTCTCAACCATAGCCTGGCACGTGAACAACTACATCGTACATCTTTTCCTCGAAGAAAAACTCCTGGAGCACATCTTTGCCCGTAAAAGGTACGAGAATTTCTCGCACGTCGATGTTATTACGATTGAACTTCAATTCGACTGTTTAACACATGTCCTGAACAGCCAGTCAAATATCGGTTTGCGCAATCACTTGTAATTTACCGTTTAACTACTCTGTATGTGTTTACTACCAGAGAAACCACACTGCCCTGACTGTGTTGAAAGACAGTTTGAGCTTCTAGAGTGAAACTGTCATTGTAAATGTTTTCGTGACTTCGTCACAGAGAGCAACACGAACTCAATAGCATAGTCGTATCGCATCGTCTTTTAGTTTGATGAAAGGAATAAGCGATTTTTCTCCCAGGAAACTTGATCAACCTACCTTTTGGCAACCAAAATATTATTCGAGTGACTACATAGAATTCAGCTGGCTAATAATACTAATACTACAACCTGAACTAAGTGGTTGACAACTTAATTGAAACTGGCAATCAAGGCAACCATATTATGTGTAGAGATTTAGCCGTTGCTCCCAAAATCTTCATTCCCTGGCTGGCTTCTATTTCAGAGTTTCCAAGGGCTGTTAATATCTGAAATGTTATGTTTCGGTTAAGAACCATTTTAAGCGAAATTGTGGCCAAAGGTAAACAAATTACCATTTGTCGCCCAGGATTTACATTATGATGTTGTTTCTAAAGTAACCTACCCATCCAGCAAAAACCTTGGTCGGCGTTGCGAAATGTCTGTCGGAGCAAAGATTGGATTTCGTCTAACGCCACTTATCGGTTCTAACATCTTTGCTAATTTAGATTTCATCAAATAAGAATGAAAACCTCTCGAATTCGCGGTTAGAGGGCAGAAAAATATGTATAGTTTACGCAATACATTCAAAACTGTGAGCACGAAACGGGCCTTGTTGACTGAAATCTGAGAAAGTTTGAGAGGTCGAAGGCGCACCTGCTTTTTCAGCTATAGTCTATGAAATGAGCTAAAAAAGAGCCATTCTCCTGGAAAACCTTAACTGGGTACAAAGATAAATAGCCTAACTCCGAAAATCGCCTAGTACATGCCTAAAACGCGCGAAAAAAGCACCCCTTAAACTGCTCAGTCAGAGTTTTGTTTATTAACTTTAAGTACCGTGTACCGCCCAGGTTTACATGAAGCAAAGGTTAACAACAACACATAATTTACATTTTTACGTAAGGTAGATCTCATAAAACGGCATGATACTAAGATTTCAACTCTTTCATTTAATTTTTACTCGCGATAAAATGAATAAAAATATCGCTTTCTAGAAAAATAACCCCTTTCAAGTTGTTAAAGAGTAAAGATTTCATTCCAGATATAAGAAGAGTGTAATATTAGTCCATCTAGTAACGTATAAACCACTAAATTGTTTTTGGTTAGAGTGTTTTTCTTCTCTTGTCAAAAAATTTCCAATTACGTTCGTAAGAAATTGAATCCATCCCCTCAGGGCAAACGACTTCTGTCATGTTCGAGAATAATCAAACAACCAAATGGCAATATTTTGTTTTCGTTTGTACATCATTTTCGCAAAACGCATCACTTTTACCCGTGTGTTGTAGTCTTAGAGAGAGAGGACCGACAAACTACTGTCAGAAAAAAAGAAAAGAAAATGATAATTCTTATGATGATAACAATGAAATAAAAATACAATCAGGTTACGCAGAAAGGACTAATTCTCGGGAGAGAATCGTATCGTTTTGCAGGAAAAAACCTGCGCTTTTTTTATTTCTTAGACAACAATCGGATTGGGAATGTAAAGAACTTGAAATTATCTAAACCTCCAAAAATGAAAAAAAAAACCAGAAGTTTCGTGTCAACATACCTCTAACTTAAAATTTACTGTTGAAAACTATGCCTTTGGAAAAGAAAAACTAAACTTAAAAACGCCTCTGGTATACAGAGTCCGCCACGCCTTATTTCCTTCATTTCAAAACAAAGATTCAGTTTGCTAATATTATCAAAACAAAACTTCCCTGCCGGGAGAAAAGAGCCTTTCTACTTGTAGATCTTCAGAAATCGACTTGGAATTGAAAAATAAAACATTAAATTAGCTCCAAATTCAAAATGTTGATTCAAAAAATCGGCGACAAAAAGTCTTGTTCCGCCTACATGACATCAACTTAAGTAAACAGCGCTTAGGCTAGCATAGCGGTCGACTAAATAACAAAGAATGAAAAAAAGAAAAATTAATAAGTCGCTGATCGCAATTCGCTATCTTGAATTGCAGATGGATTTTGTTGTTTTGCCGGTAAACTAATAAGAGTTTCTCTCATAATCCGCTCCGTTTCGACCTGGGCACAATATCTCGACGTCAATTTCGCAACGCCTACGTCTAAAAAGACCGATTTGTTTTCATTCGATTATCGAAAAAAAAAATTAATTTCATTCATGCGAATCTAATCTCGCCTTTCAACTAAAACAAAGAAAGAAATCATAGAGAACGTGCGACTAATACGAAGTTGAGCCAATCCCCACGAGATAGCAAATATAATCCATTCTCTTGAATCGGTACTTTCTTTTTTCCCCGTGGCAAAGTGGCGATATTTCAAAAGCTTCACCGTTTGCTAAAATTGAAGACCACCTTCTGGATTCTAAAGATAAGAACACTGAAAGCATACCTAATGATCATGCATGCTGGTATAATAACAATTTTCATTTTTGTACCACAAACAGAGGTTTCGGTGACAACTTAAAGTTAATTTGAGCGGATAGACGATAACACAGTTTACCCAACTGGCAATAGGTAAGTCTTGCTTTAGAATACAAGTACTCCGCGGAAAACCATTATTTTTTTGGCAAAAAAGTATTATAGTCGAAAAATGGTCACGGTATGCTTAGGATAACGATCGTCCACACTTCATTTGCAAAGTGAAATCAGTTGATCCTTTTGTTCCCATGATAATCGCGACATACAAACGCAAAGGCCTTTGTTTCGTATTTCAAAGTGACTTATTTTCATCAAAATTAACATGAACCGCGTTTTCTTTCCACAGTGAAAACAACGACTACCAGGTGGTTGGACGAGGTGGAAAACTCGCGCTGACAGATGTCTTTAACCAGCATGAATTTTACGGAAAACTTCACTACTCCTGCAAGTACTACTGAACCACCCCGACCACATTCCCAAGCCAGCATCATTGCCTCAGCGACATTTAACACGATTGTCATGGTACTAACCATAGTTGGAAACTCTCTTGTTTGCCTCAGTGTTTATTACTTCCCTCGCCTTCGCAGGCCCACCAATTTCTTAATTGTGTCTCTCGCGGTAAGTGACCTGCTGGTGGGATCTTTGTCGCTGCCCTTCAGAATCGCACAGACGATAAACCAGGAGAGCTGGCCAGAAAGTCTGGGTCCCGCTGGCTGCCAGTACTGGATTTGGATCGACATGGTATGCTGTGGTGCCTCTATACTGAATCTAACAGGAATCAGCTTCGATCGACTCCTTGCTGTAAAATGGCCGCTTACGTACCACGAGAACATGACCACCAAGCGAGCTACTTTGATTATTGTAATAGTCTGGGTCTTCGCATTGGTTGTTGCCTGTTTGTCGTTCGTGAAGTGGGGCGGACACGAAACAATCATCATAACACCCCAATGCTCCATACAGGCTAAAATCTATATTACCATATTAGCCGTTGCCGCATTCTTCTTCCCGTTAACCGTTCTTATTTTCAACTACGTCCTGGTTTTGAAGATCGCCATTCAGCACGCGAGACAGGTGCAGAAAGATAGGGATGCTATAGCCGTGAACTTTTTGGCTGAACAGGACGCCAACGAAGATACCAGTGGAATCACCAGCTCACCCGCATCCAGCAATAGAGGAATAACAATAGGGAAGCGGAGTAGTGAACCGCTCACTGATTCGAAACCGCGACGCTCGTCAGGACTACAGATCATGAAGCAACTCAAGGCCACCAAAACGTTGGCAATTGTGGTGGGAGTCTTTATTCTCTCGTGGTTTCCATTTTTTGTGATTTTCATCACTTGGCAATATTGCCTCGAGTGCTTCCAAAGTCTGCCGCCAGAAAGCGTCACAGTTTTAGTCATAGTGTTTGTGAACGTTTTACCAGTGAGCAATTCTGCAGCAAACCCTATTATTTATACGTGCTTTAACAAGGAGTTCCGTACTGCCTTCTTACGTGTTATCTACAAGTTTTTACGGAAATCAGGCGGTGAACTAATGTCAAAGTCAAACGGCCATACCGATACATACACTTCTTGCACGTAATTTTTGAAGAGATATGGATGCAGGTACCTTTAATCTTAAACAAGTTAACTTTTTAATTACCATAGTTTTTATGTATTTGGGTCCAAAGACCTAGCCGCTGTAAGATTTCCTGAATTGTCCCGATCTCTATTGATTTCCTGACGATTGTGACAGACTGAGCGATCAAGTTAACCCTTGCTCGGCGCAAACTAGGTTAGAGCGAGAACATTGTGGTCGTTTTAATTGTGCGGGTCATGTCAGATCGTTTGGTCTTCTTCTGGTCCTGATCACTTAAGTATTATCTAGCACAATCGTGGCATGGAAACCGAGCTTAAGTGAAAATACCCGAAACCTTTCAAAAGTATTCGTATAGAAAAAAGATCATACCAAAAAAGATGAGTGTTAATGAGCCATTATCTGAAGCAAGAACAGTGTTTTGCTTCGACGTTTTGAATGGTTATTACGACACAAACCAAATAATAAGCCCTTTGCAAGTGCAAAAGATCTCTAGAGATTTCAATTGTTTTATTTTTACGCGCAAATTTATTTCCAGTTTTGTCGCTCTGTTTCAAGTCAAGTCTGTTAAATAATGTCAATCAAATCATAAGACGATGCAAACTCGCTTACATTCTGAACAACTGAATTACATAGATTCATGAGAGTTTACTTGAAAGTCGCGTTGCAATTATTTCAGGGACATAGAAATTGCCTTTGTTCTATTAACAAGGTAATGATGGTTGTGACTGCTTCGTCAATAATGGCATACTCAAACGTTGTCAAAACATCGGTTTATAATTAAAACACCGTGCCTTTGGACTGGACATTAAAAGTTTCGATTTGGGACCTCAGTCATGGTTCTTTGAATATATCATATCTTACTGGCTGGTCACACGAAAGAAATTGAAAAACAGAACTCTGGTCAACAACTAAAACCACTCAAGCGGGATAATCAAGCACAGTTAATATGAAAAGTGATCGAAGGCGGGTACATGTAACATCAATGGCTTGTAATGAATTTTTTAGGCTACATAAATGAAGGCTTCATGGTGAGCTTGATAAAACGAGATATAAATCAGAGGGAGATGAATTAAAATAAACAGTGGGATCTCCAAAATTTGCGGAAAGGACCACTCGAAGTCTACCTTTCTGCACGAAATCGTAAGATTCTAAACTTAGACCGATTGTGAACGGTCGCTCATCAGTTTAATTCGCTCAATTTTTCGTTCTTTAACAGAAATCATTACCACTCGCTCAAATAAACGAACTTTAGATCTTACTTTCGACAGATTCTTTCGTTTGAATTTGTTTATCATCAAACAAATAGAAGAGCGTTCAGAAAGAAGAAAAGGAATAGGCATAATATCTGACTAAGTAACTGGAATTTTATCGTGCATTTTGTGATTTTTTTTTCTGCGCGCAAATGCAAGGTAATGGGAGAGGGGTGCTAACAACTAAACGGTAGAAATGATTAGTTGAGGTCACACGAAGCGCTCTCTTAGAATGCTTTAATGGTAGTCAGGCGACCGTGGTCTCTTTTTTAAAAAGCAATTAGCCTAATGAATTATGTTAAGTGTCAAGGGGCGCTTGAAAAGAAAACGAAGGTTACACCCACCAAGAAGTACTATGATTGTTATTTGTGATTAAGAAGCGACCCAGGACATTTCATTAATTGTTAACAATTATTTTAAAGCTTTTGGCTGTTTTCAACTAGTTTTAATTTTATACCTTTCTCTGATGCTTTTATAAATAGGTTCTTCCTTAGAACATGTAACTTTCAAATGGGGCAGTTTAATTAAAATTCAGGTTAATCTGCCTTGCCTTTGCCGTATTGTTAATAAATGGAGCAGTTATCAGCCAGGCTGGAAGAATCAATGGCTTTTAGAATATTCACTTTTAAAAGTATATTCTCCTAAAAGACATGTAGTTTGTGACAGCGACTGACATCTGGACAACCTGAACAAAAGCAGAAGTCATCGTGCGAGTCAAGTAAGTCAAAGTATGACAAACGCTTTGTTCAGGTTCTTTAGGTCATACTTACTCAGTCGTCCAAACTACACTTACCCAGATCATAGTTAGTGCAGGCCGGAGACTGATTATGAAAGCTGGAAATTAACGGTTAACATTCGTTTTCATCTTCTAGACTGATATTGGACATCTCAGTGACGTTACCTCCGAATGAAGCTATTTAGTGCTGTAGACCTGGCCCTGGTTGTTCGAAGGCTGAATGACGCAATCCAACGGATAAATCGCTATCCAGCGGAGAAGAGTTAACATAACCCCACTGCACTATCCATCGAATAGAGGTCTATACAGTGATAGTGTTATTCAACCTTCGAGCAACCGATGGCAGAGGTTTCTTACTTGGAGTGTACTTGCGGTTAGTTTACATTTATTAACTGCATTTATAACTCTGTAACTCTCGCATCTACACAAATGCCAAGTGCAAATGATTTGCACTTAGCATTTATGTAAATGCCAAAGTTACGTCACAAACTGCTGCATCTCACGAAATTATACCTTCCCTAAGTCACGTTTGACGGTATTTGTCTTCACACACAAAAAAATATCAAACTAATGCGCTTTCCAACTATGCCTGAATAGTATGACACTAGACGATGGACTTTTTTTAATTGAGGAATGGTTTCCAGAGTTAAACTGGAGCCTGAAAATGAGGAGTACTAGAGAGAAAACCGAAAAGTAGCGCTTTCTGGCCTATTTAACGTGATAGTCACTTAAATGTAATACGTCTCTTAATGTGTTATTCAAAACGCACCAAGCCCTCAAACGTCAAGTGAGGGTGATGGATTTTACGGCTAACTGTTAAAATCTTTAGCTATTTTATCGCTATCGGTTAAAATTCAGTTTTACTATTTTACGGCTAACGGTTAACTTCTTTATTTCGTGATTAACAGAAACATTTTCATGGTTAACTTGTTTTATGATTAACGGCTAACATTAGCCAATTTTCATCCCTAACGACTATTTTTTTGGCCGTTTTACACCTGTATGAACCATGCTCTTGGACAAAAACAGCGAGTGCAAGAAATAAGTCGGGCGAAAAAAGTCCTCCGTTTCAGGTTCAATAGACAGTTGGAGGTAAAGTTTACTAGATTTTGTTTGAGACAGCAATTGAGAAAACACATAGAAAAGGGTAAAGAATGGCACACTAGACTATAATATCCACAATTTTAATTTTGTGACCAATAAGGCCAAGGCATACTTGTCTTGCTCTGTGTATCATATGCATATATCATACACCCAAATACATTGAAATTTCCCTATATAAACCCTAGGAATGCAAGAGGAGGCAGGGTCAAAATTGAAAAATCAATTACAATGGGAGGGCACTCACCATTTTACGGCTAGGGAAGGGTTTGTTGTATTTTCTTGATTACCTACTTAAAAAGGCAAAAAACCCTGTGACCAATTCATGTGCAGAGTACAGATTTTGAACCATTTTGCCCCTAGAATCCTGATTCCTGTCATCAAAATCTGCCCTAACCATAATCAAAAAGGTTATTTCAATCCTGTTTTAGGACTGGAGAGTGCTTTGTTGCATTTGTTTGATTACCCAATTGAAAAGACAAAGAATCCTGTGACCCATTCATGTGCAAAGTACAGATTTTGAACCATTTTTTGCACCCCAAGTCCTAAAAATCTGCCCTAACCACATAACAAAAGCTCATGTTGATGCTATCAAATATCAGCTATTTGATAATTTTCTTCTTACTCTCAACTTGTTAGCACGAAAGAGTATGGAATAAGGTAACAAGAATTTGCACAACAATCACTGCTTGGAGTTTCTAGTAGGTCAAGAAGAAAAAGATAAATAGGAGACCTAGTACCCAAGCTGAGTGGTGTAATTCTTACAACTATGAAGATAAAAAAAATATAGGTTCTCAGATGATTTATGGGAAGGGCTATTTCTCATATTAAAGTTCTCTTTGTGAAAGGATCATGCCAAAGACAAAACATTTATGAAGTGAAAGGAATATAATTGTAGGTCAGTTGAGGAGCCTGAGTACCTAAATACAAACTAAACAACATTCCATGCTCCACATTGGTGATTGAAGAAAATATATACACAATTCTGAAAAAAACAATCAGCCAGGGTACAGAATCACCCAGTACATAAATTCCCTCCTCTCCCCCCTAAAAAAAACAAATTTCTTTTCATCAGCTTATCAACAGATTTCCAATAAAAAAGGCTAAAACTGAGTGGGCAATGACATAAAATTATCCTGAAGAGATTTCCAAGCTATATGGAAAATGTGTTTTCATCTAAATTGATGAAAACTAATTCAATACCAGCCCTCCATTTAAAGAAAACCTTTTCTGGTCTACTTTTTTGAATTTCTGCTGTGAACGAGGAGTCACATTTTAGAGCAGCATGGCCAAGGAGTGAAGAGCACCCTTAAGCTTTTAATTCATCGGCAGATCATATTATTAAACATTTTTCAGAGAATGCAATGACTAAATAATTTCATGCAACCGGAGAAATCATGTATATTTTCCCATCTAAATCAAAGTATGTCAATAATATTGAAATAATGTTTGCAATCTTCAACATATTGTGCATACAATTAATATAAATAAAAACAGTCATGACTGGGGTTTGTAATCAAGTCTGATAAATAATAAAATGATTGAGATTTACTTACACAACCAGATTTTCAAGCCCTGAAAGTGATTTTGTTTAACACCATTGAAGTGGAGGGCACCTACAGAATAGCAGAAATCAGAAATTCCTTCAAATTCCGACCCAAACTTAGACAATTCGATTGGTTCAAAGTTAAGCTCCTTTCCCAGCAACGACTGCGCAAATACTTAGGAGCAAAACTATGATGCCTAACTGAAAAAGCCATAGGTCGTTGGTAAAATGGTAAAAAACGTCGTAAAATGGGATTTACCTTCTCATTTAATGCATACATCCCGCTCATCCATTCTTCATTATCTTGCATTTCTTCTTAAGCTTACTTTTCAACTTTGAGCGCTTCCATGCTCTGAAAGTCTTACTTCTT